AGTCAGAGCTCCCCCCAGTATCGCCATCATCTGAAGCTTCTACCAAAGGCGAGCTTCTTGGTCCTTATTGCTGTGGTTCCCTCATTTTGACCACTGAGTTGTCCAAGCACAGATGTTCGAGCAAGACTGCCACCTCTCCCTCTTCCTATTGAATTTTTGTTTTCCAGAAATTCTTCAAAATTACTGGTCTATTAATTGCATTTTTTTTAGCTTTCACAATTTTGCATATTTATTCTTTAAAAGTATTTTTTTACACTTAATTGTATTTTCAATCAGATGAAAGGGGAGGTATATGTAAGTGCTTAGTCTGTCTTGTTGATCCAACTCCTCATCTAGTTATTGCTGATCCTGAGGAGAGTTACTGCCTTTTCTAAGTTTACTTTGTAATCTGAGACTTTACCAAACATTTTGTTTCTAAGAGTTTTTTTAGTAGGTTATTTTGTACTTTCTCAGCCTTATAATTTCATAATCTATAGCTAACAACCTTATTTCCTCCCTTCCAATACTTACCAATAATTTTTTTTTCTTTTACTATAGTGTTGGCTACAATCTTTAGAAAAACTTTCAAAGACTGGGATTAATGTGCATTTTTGTCTTGCTGTTGAATTAAATGGAACCATCTATATTGTATTTCACCAATACATATGATGTTGACTACTGGTTTTAGATACATATTCTTTTTTTTTTTTAAAGATTGTATTTTTCCTTTGTCTCCCCAAAGCCCCCCGGTACATAGTTGTGTATTTTTAGTTGTGGGTCCTTCTAGTTGTATGCCGCCTCAGCATGGCTTGATGAGCAGTGCTATATCCTACGCCAGGATCTGAACTGGCGAAACCCTGGGCCACCGAAGCAGATCTCTCGAACTTAACCACTCGGCCATGAGGCCAGCCCCTAGAAATATATTCTTTATTATTAAACACATTTCTTTTTATTTCTCATTATAACATTTTTAAAAATACTGAAGAATTTCATCTGAGTGATGGTTACAGAGATATACACATATGTAAAAATTACTGAGCTGTACACTTGCAACTTATGGACTTCATTAAATGTATCTATCAATTACAATTTTTAAATTTTTATAAAGAAAAACTCAGAAATAGATATTAAATTTATCAACTGCCTTTCTAACATCCATTGAGTTGATCATACACATTTTATCCTTTGCCCTCCTGTTGTGATTTCCTATTATAATTATGAATTTATTGGGTGCCAACTAATGTGCCAGACAATCCTTTAATCTTCTTAGTTAATATTTCCATAGGCATTATTGCCTCTTTTACAGATGAGAAAATTGATATTTAAAGTGTTTAAGTAAGGTAAGAGTATAAATTTAAGTGCTTACATTTAAGCTTAAAGTAATACAGCTTTAGGATTTGAATGGTTCTTGCACTCTGGGACAAATTATCCTTGTATACTTGGCAGAAGCCTTGCTAAAGCTTACTAGTCAGAACTGAGTACAGCTGTGAGTAACAGAAAAATCAGCAATTAATTAGAATCAGAGGAAGAGACGCATATCTACCTGACTAAGCTGTTATTTGTTTAGGTTAATAGGACTAAGATGATTGTCCAAACTCAAGGACACGAAACTTCCTTAGTTTTGATTTTTTTTTTTTTTAGGAAGATTAGCCCTGAACTAACATCTGCTGCCAATCCTCCTCTCTTTGCTGAGGAAGACTGGCCCTGAGCTAATATCCGTGCCCATCTTCCTCTACTTTATATGTGGGACATCAGCCACAGCATGGCTTGACAAGCGGTACATAGGTCTGCATCAGGGATCAGAACCGGCGAACCCTGGGCCATCGAAGCAGAACGTGCAAACCCAACCATTCCACCACTGGGCCGGCCCAGTTTTGATTTTTTAAACTAAAAAATGTGCCACTTGTAAAAAGAAATATACAGAATGATACGATTAACTGCCGTCAGATAAAGGAGGTTTGATATCACTATTACAACAAGTAGAATTTAAAAGTGAAACATTTTGCACGTTAAAAATGACCAATATACAGTCAATAATGAAGAGACACCACCTGACACATGTGTAAGCTAAATAACATAGCATCAAAAGATACCACTATAGAAACTGGCAGAAGAGGGACATTTTAACTCATTCCTATTACCACTTGACAGATTAATTGGACAAAATTTAAATAAGGGAATGGGGAAAATGAACAATATGATTAACGCACACATATCAAACCCTTCTTTCCACAAATAGAATAGTATAAATGACCAATAAGTTGCAAAGAAAATCTCAATAATTCAGAAGAATAGAAACGAAACTAGGAATTAATATGAAAGTGGTTTGTTGGGTTTTTTTTAAAGGACAATACTTTGTCAAATAACAACTGAGTACTACCTTTTTCCCACCGTGTAACATCCTAGACACAACATTCAGCCTCTTTGATGGGCAGATCAAAACATGAACATCCACAGATATTTCCTGTGTAAGCAACTTTCCAGAGGATCTGGGCTGGTCAGGCAATGCACAGTCTCCCCACGCTCCCTAGCTCTCTCCTTGCATCAGCTCCTCCCATATTTGCTTCTTACATCTTGGGAAATTCTCCAAATCCTTCCTCTTTGGCAGGCAGACGAGCTTCTCTCTTCCTCAGTGGACTTCCCAGCCCTAGAGGACTCAGGTGCTAACCTAAGCATTTAGCAATAATATATTTCCCCAACAAAGTAATCTTTCAACTTCAGAGGCATGCTGGTGCCAGCTGTTAGGTAGAAACATTTTTTTCTCTGCCTTGATACCAACATAGAAGGAAGACACTGAAACGAACCAAGGAGAGTTAAAATGGTTTCCTCCAGCCCTGTTCCCTACATGTTAACGGATTTGGAACAGTAAGCTCAGGCCAGGTGGATTTCTGGATCTTGGTGCTTACTGCCGCTTAACTCATCAGACCAGTGGAGGAGAAGAAAACCTTGTCTCATGTGGCAGTGAAGAGCATAGGTCTTAGAATTGGATAACTTGGCCTTGAGACATAGTAGTTGTGCGATCTTACACAAATTACCCAATCTATCTGAATCTCATTTTGCTTGATTCCTGTAAAAGGGGAAAAATATATAATTTCTAAGGATCTTTATAATTAAATAATAGGCCCATACACAGTTCTTTTTCTAGAAAGTCTCCCTTTTTATGCAAAATGGGACCTCACAAGAACTCTAGTGAGAAAGGCAGATTCTCTGGCCATAATTGAGACCCAAGCATCAGGATCTGCATTTTAAGAGATCCTCAGGCGATTCCACCAGACACTGAAGTTTGCAAAGAACTGATCTAGTCAATAACAGATGGGAAATGACAATAATGACAATAATTTCTTAAGGAAATTGCCTGTTTACTTTTTTCACATACTAATATTTTATATGGTTTTTTGCCCCCAAAGTTGTTAACATCCTGCTTTTTTTTTTAACTGTGCAAACGTTGGAATTTTGATTCCTTCATGATTTTTAGAGATTTTCCTTCATGCTGAAAATATTAATAATAATAAATGAAATGGAAGCAATGCCAGCCTATTCTCATCATGGCCTTTGCATAGCTCTAGTCTGTTCTCTAAGCAACATCCACTTTGGGAGAAATATACTCATTGTCAAAAGCCAGGAGATGGGGACAAAGCTTGACACCAAAATCTGTGGAAAAATGGTGTCTATTTGCAGTCACGTGGCACTTCACCAGGCTTTTCTAGAAACTGTTCTTGAGCTCTAAAAATATAGATTAACATATTAACTTGTAAAGTTATGAAAACCAAATGAGATACTCTAGGAAACAGTTCCCGGTGCAATGCCCAGCAGACAGTCGGTGCTCAAGAAATGTTAGTTGTTTACCTTCCTGTTCATTCTTACTCTACTGTAATTATCCTTTAAATACCTCTATTCCATATTAGGCTGTGAACATCCAGAGGGATGAAGCTTATTTCTTTTATATATGTATGTCCATAAACACAGGACCTGCCACATCTTCTAAATGAATGCTAAATAAATAGATAATTTTTATCTCTAGCTAGTTTTAGTACATTTACTTAAACCAGGATCAATGATTGGTTGAAAGATTCATTTATGGAATTACTAAAAAAAGTATTGTGCAGCTATTATGTGTCAGGAACTATGATAGACACTGGAGACCAAAATGATGATGAGCAAAAACCAGACACTCTCCACTTGTAGTTTAAGAGAGATGATGCATATCATCTCACCACAGAATGTAAAATTGAATTAAGTGCTGTAAGAGAGGTACACGGCGCCCTGAGAATGTAGTAGGTGAGATAAATGTTAGAATAAGAACGGCTCAGCAAGATCCTGTCTTATTGACCTATTTTCCATTGGTCTGCTGTGTCCCCATATTCTATCACGGTCTAATTCACTTATTTGGAGTTTCTCTTCAGTTGGAACATCTCCTGGGGCATTGCTTCCAGAAGGCCATTGTTAAAATGAACCTCTTCCTGAGTGAGAAGTTTGGGTGTAGAGAGATGGACAAGCCTGCCAGTGTCTTCTATTAATTAATATGTTGATACTGATAATCTCATCAGAATGGTTTAGATATCGTCACTTTGGGAAGACAAAGGAGTCATAGAACAGTTGCGTTCAATGACATTTGTGAAATAATGGAGGCTCACATTCCCAGGAAGATGGGGGACACACTGAGTTCACCCAGCTAGGGGGCCTGGGGGACCCCAGTCAGGCTATTAACCCATCAAGAGGGTGGACATTTTCTCAGAATGATGGCGTCAAAGAAAAACGCTTTACAATTTTATCCATACGGGGCTTTTACTTAAATCAGCTCAAGCTGATATCTATGCCCCCAGCCCCCACCCCCTATCTATAATCCCCCCTCTATGGTAGCACTACTTTTAAACTTGTGATTATGTTTGCAGCCCACAAATGAAGGGGTGAAGTGGGTGGTACGTATCGAATTAAGGAATTTATTAATAGGAAACTCCCACAGAGGAAGTACTGGCTAGAGTGCAGCCAGCCTGTCCGCGATGCTCCAGTCGATGACTCACCTGTTCCTAAAGTAGTACTGCTGTCCCACAGCTTTCGACCGAGCCTGCAGCCGGGCTAACGTGGCCATAGCCTCCCGCATCTGGTTTACCACTGGTGTTACTATCCGTCTCCCAGGCAACCGGACTAAACCATAAAGCCAGTCCAGGGGGGCGGTTAACTTTCCATTTACTCCACTTTTTTCCCATCCTCTTTCAGCTTCCGGAACACTATAAAGAAACTTAAGAAATTTTGCGTAGGAAAACGTTCCAATCATTTGCCTCTATCTCTTCTGGGAGTAAAAAGAGGAGATTATAGGAGCAAAAAGCAGTAGGTGGTGAGGGGGGGAGGAGAACTAGTGGTTGCTCCCAGCATCCGGTTTCCGCCTCCCGCCTGCTTCCGGAAGCTCAGCTCAAAATGCTGAAGTGCTCTTGGAAGTCGCAGGTGCTGTGCTAGCTGGAGAGTGTTCTCGGGCCTGAGCCTCGAGGCCAGGCTCCCGGGTGGCGTTAATGTTCGGGGCCGCCGGGCGCCAACCGATCGGAGCTCCAGCCGCCGGGAACAGCTGGTGAGGCTGGCGGCCCGGGGGACGGGAGATCCGGAACGGGTGTGATGGCCGGAGGCCACTGGACCTTGGGATGGAAGGGGGAGGGAGTTGTGATGGATGTTCTGAAGACATTTAGGCCTTGCTCTCTCTCGTGCCCGGCATGGACGCAGTTTGAGGAAGGCGTTGAGGCATTCGCTAAAGATTTGTGAAGGGATCCAGTCGCTGCGTGCTGATTGCTTGTCTGACGCTCGATGATATTTTAGGAGTAAAGCTTTCTGCACTCCAGGAGCAGTTCAGTTATTTCCTCGTTGATGGCTGACAAGACCAGGGACAGAAGAATTTTTCTTAATCCAGACCTTGTTCCCTCACTTCCCTTTTAAATTTACTAGATTATACCGGGTGTCTTGGAATAGCAGATCCCAGAAATCTAGAGTTCTGGAAGTTTAGTCGTGGAAGAGACCCTACCTTCCAACCTCCCTATTTGGGTGTAGGAGTAACCTACCTGTTTCTGCCCCTTGATCGTTTCATTCTAGTTCAAATGAGATGTGTATGTATGTTGCTTAAGAACAGATAAATGCCAAGATTCAGTTTGGGGTTTAACTGTATCTACAGTATCACATCACCAGTGCTACTTTAGAATAATATGTTGCTTTGGCTTTTCAAAGTGCTTTCACAAATTAATACACTTTATCCTTGTGACAGTCCTGTGATAGGAGATGATCAGAGGCACAGGATATGTAAGTGACGTGGCCAAAATTGACATGCACATTTTAGTCCTAGGGCTAGAGGCTGATTTTGGGAGGTCTAGTTGAAAACTCTGTAATGTCTGTCCTGTTTTTTTTTTCCCCAAGCTCTTTTCCTCCAAGCATACCCAAGACAAGCAGTGAAACAAACAAGCCAGTTTTCCACTGACAGTCCTCAAACATAAAGTGTTAAATGGCAGGTGGGATGGGGCTAAAAAAATGTGTGTCCATTCCTAGAGTCTGCAGCAAATGAGAACATGGGAATTCCAGTAGTCTGATCTCGAAGAATTCATTTTATATCACCTATCACTGAAAAGTTAAAAGAATGTCTTGCCTGAAATGTTTTGAATGTGATGCGATCATTCTATAGTTCTTTTTATAATGAATATAGGTTGGTTATGCTCCTTTTAAGTCCTCACATTTTCCAGTGAGAAAAGCAGGGAGCGTTTTTTTAAATGAGTTATTTTTTTTAATGGTGATGTAATTAGCATAAAATAAAACCCGTAGTTCTCAAGTGTTTAGTATGTTTAGTTTTGGCAGTTGTGTATCATGTGTAAGCCGTGTAGACTGGTGTCCTCTTGCTGTGGTGATCACTAATTTGTAGGGTAGGTAACTGATTAAAAAATATGACTCTTTCAACTCCTTGCTCTCCTTTCCACCTTCTGCTCGAATCATGGTCAGGTACCTCTTTATAATACAGAGAAACCCTTCTTCATTTCTCTTTCAAAGATTCTATCTTGTTTTCACTTGTTGGCATGCAACTCATCCTTTCTTATGGCAGGAGAGTATGACATAGTGCCTAGCACTTAGTCAGTGTTTTTGAATGAAATTCTGAAAATCATGCGTGATTTGGCAAAATGAATGTGTTCCAGAGAACTAGATCCTTGATTTTCTAGTTTTATCTGCACAACCATCCTGTTATTCAGAATTTCTTAATGGAGTTTTCTTTTTCATTCATTGATTGGAAATTTACTATACTATGCATGTATGTTTTATCCCAGTGATGAAATCTCAGTGCCACTGGGGATGTTACTACTAACTAGTTACTTGGTGCCAGGTTTTCCATAGGATATCATCTCACATAAATCTTTTGAGGTAGGTGAGATCATCTTTTGCATTTTAGAGATGACGAGATGGGAACAAATGTAGTTTAGATAACTTGACCAAAGTGTTGTATTTGCAGTATGATCCCAGTATATCTAAAAAAATTCTTAACCACCCAATATACTGCCTATGTGTCTCAAGGAATATATAAACTGGAAAGTATGTGCCAGATTTGTTAACCAATCCAGAATTCCTTAACTTCCATCTTGACTTCAACTTTTTCTCCAGTGTCAAGGCTAGTTTTTCAATTTTTAGACACCAACTGGGTAAGTGTAGATGATTTATCTCTTTCTTAACAATTTGTTGGAAAGTAGAACTGACATTTTATTTTGTAATTAAAAAGCCTAAGGAAGAAAAGTCTTAGACATTAAAATAATAAAGATCCTATGTTTGTGTGTGTGTGTGTGTGTGTGTGAGGAGATTAATGTCTTTTTTTTTTTAAGATTGGCACCTGAGCTAGCAACTGTTGCCAATCTTTTTTTTTTCCTGCTTTATCTCCCCAAACCCCCCCATACATAGTTGTATATCTTAGTTGCAGGTGGAAATTAATATCTTTTTTATGCAAGTTAATCTTATAAGTGGTTCACATTATATTTTTATACAATCTTTGTAGCTGAGGGTGTCTCTCTCCTCTCGCTCTCATCACTCACATACAATTTTGAAATTAGGTCCGAAGAGCTTCTTTTTGGACTTACAATATTAACTTGCCTTTTAAAGTTTGATTCATTTAATGGACAAATCACATTTAGAATTTAGATACACTTTCCTTTATTACTTTTTACTTTATTAGTGATTTATATTTAAAGTCAGTTTCTGGGAGGTTTTGGGAAAGATTTTAAAGGTTGGACTAAAATTTTAAAAATGAAGTCCTTGATATTGAAAATATTGAATCATTATTGATATATTGAACTGTAGTGTCTATTTATTTAACTTTATGTGGCTTTGCTTTAAAAAAAGTCATTAAAAATAAACTATTGATTCTGGACCTTTTTTTCTGTAGCTTCATTTTCCTATTTGGTATTTTGATTTTCTATAGATTTGGAAAACTGTGTAGTCAAAAATGTGCCTTTTTTAAAATAAATGTGGTTATTTTGGTCTTGAACTCAGTTTCATACGGTTAGGCTTGTTTTGAGTCAGGTTTCTGTTTCAACACTTAGCAGTCAGAGCAATGGCCAGTATGATTTTGCCAAGTAACTCATTAATTTTGGTATAGCTTCTTAGCATCCTTATTTATGGCAAGCTGGAAGTCTTAAAACCCTATCTTTGATAATTTTCCCTGTACTGCCGCATTTACTTAACTAAAAAGTTAGAGTATCTGGCTTGTTAATGTGGCAGAAAATTTGCAATCTGGATTGTCTGAACTTTTAGTTGTCATATTTTTCTTTCACTATTTGTTCCTTCTTTTAGCCCTTCATTGATTTGTTCATCCAACAGACTTTTTTTTTTGCATCTTTTTTGTGTCAAGTATTATGGTAGGTAGTTGTAATCCATATTCAATTGTCAGCTTTCTCATTCCTAATCTGGGAATTCAGAATATATTATATATTCAGTAAAGACCAAGCAGTTACCATGTATAAGCAATGAATGGGCCTCATTTCCTACATTTTAGAAGCTTACCTACATATACTTTAATATATGGGTGTTACAAGAATTGGAATGAATTATTTTTTAGATTTTGTTTGTTTTAATTATTACTTTTTTATTTTTTATTATGTTCAAATTATTTTATAATATATATTTACTTAAAGTTCATTTTTAAAAATTGTTTTTTGTTTAAAAACAAAGTTATTTTTGTTTGTTTTAGACTTTGACTTCATTTCATTTAGATGGTTTTTCATTCAATAGTTTACATTTTGAAAGCGATCAGAGTATAAGGAAAGACGTTTTGAATGACTCAAAGTCATTGAATGAAGTGAAAAAATCAAAAGAATGTTCTTAAATTTAAATAATAAAGGAGCCTGCCTTATGAAATCACTATTTGGAAAGTACAATTAAACTTTAAGCCCTGTATGATTTGTTTTTTGTCAAGTTGCTAGGGTAAAGAGGAAAGAAAGCTTTCTAAGTGTTCCTGTGGTGACAGACATGACAAAGTAGCAGCTGCCAGCAGCACCTCCAATTGAGTGCAAGTCAGTGGAGCTTTTCCTCCCATTGTGGGATGTGAGTTTTTCTGTTTGGTGCAGAATCCTGTGACTCTTAACTTGAAAGTATGCTTTTCTTTAATCTTTTTTTTTTCTTATATTTCTATATTATTAAGATAGAAGTAGGTCAGATACACAGCATTAATTCTTTTTACTTGAGATTTTTGGAGTTTTTTAGATCCAGAAAAGTCTTTAAGGAGTCCATGAATATCTTGAAATTGTGTGCCAGATTTTTGCAAATGTCTGTTATCCACCCCTCCCCATCATTCGTTGTGGTTCAAGAACTCAGAAAGGTTGACAGTCTTTGCTTTTGTTATGATATTCTCAGCATTCATAATATGGTTATTCCCTTATTTTCTTTATTGAGGTCACATTGGCTTATAACATTATGTAAATTGCAGGTGTTCATCATTATATTTTGACTTCTGTATAGACTACATTGTGTTCACTACCAAAAGTCTGGTTGCCATCTGTCACCATACATGCATGCTCCTTTCCCCACTTCTTCCCCCCCATGGTTATACCTTGAAAGCAGAATAACATGATATTTCAGTGGCCAGTTGTCTTATTTGTGTGTAGAGGTTGTTGAAAGATGAAATAACAGCTCTGACACATAGGTACCCACTCTCATCTTCACAGAATCCCTTCAGGGTAGAAATTATACCCATTTTTGTGATAAATAAACAGAATCAGAAGATAAGGACTTTGTTCAAGGCCCTATGGCTAATCAATATAGTAGAATTTAGCTTTCAAATTTACAGCTTTGGTTCCAAAGCTCGTGTTCTCTACAGTTTCCTCCCAGCCTTTTCCCCCCCCCCAGAGAATTCTATTCCATATTTATTGCCTAGTGTTAATGTAATGTTATAATTAGTCATTTACATCTTTTAGAATAAGATAGGTTCCCCGCCCCGCCATGTTCCGTCTTTCAGAGAGAGAGAAAAGGTTACTCTGATTAATGGTTTAAATGGGTTGGTCAAGGAATTTCTAAACTAGCTCAAGTGTTAACATTTAATGTTAGGTTTATTCTTAATTTCCT